TAGATCAGTGGTCCCCAACCCCCGGGCCGCGGACCGGTACCGGTCCGTGGATCAATTGTTACCTGGCCGGACAAGAAATCATTAATTATTTCCGTTTTATTTATTATCTGAGTATGAACGATCTTTTATTTTGGAAAATGACCGTATTCTCTCGGTTACATCTCGGTCACTTGAGCGCCAAAACTGGCTTACTTGTGGACATATTCAGCCTGCTCAATGAACTCAATCTGTCACTTCAGGGGAAAATGACAACTGTCTTCAAGTTGGCAGATAAAGTAGCTGCATTTAAAGCCAAACTGGATTTGTGGGGACGGCGCGTCAACAGAGGCATTTTGGACATGTTTCAAACATTAGTGGGGATTTTGGGTGAGACTGAGCCTGAGCCTTCATTCTCCCAGCTGGTGCACGATCACCTGTCTTTGCTTTTAAAAGAGTTCGAGCGCTACTTCCCAACCACAAAGGACCCACGAACTGCCAAGGAATGGATCTGCAACCCATTTGTCAACAAACCAGGTGAATCCAGCAGGTCTGTGCAAGAAGAAGATCAACTGCTGGAGATCGCAAATGACGGCGGCCTTAAAAGTATGTTCGAGACAACAACTCTGTCGGTGTTCTGGATTAAAGTCATGACAGAATACCCTGAGATCGCCACCACAGCACTGAAAACCCTGTTGCCATTTCCGACATCCTATCTGTGTGAAGCGGGTTTTTCTGCAGTGACTGCAACCAAAACAAAACAACGGAGTAGACACACTTCGGGTGACCGTCTCATTGCAGAGAAACAAGTTCAGGGCTCCCATTGATTTAGCGTTATGGGGAGTTAAAAATTTCAACACAGTGGATTCACGTTTATTATTATACTAACAATATAAACAATCTACGTTTGTCAATTTAGAAGTAAGAAGTTACAGGCCATCCAGGCCTTTATGTCTTTAAGACATGCTTGAAGTTTGACCAGCTGATCTGATTCATTATATCCTTGCAAGTGGTAGTTAATGAGTTTAACTATTCCTCAGGATTCATAAGGGAGGAGACATCATTCATCAAATACAGACAAGAGTTTTTAAAATGAATAGAAAACTCTCCTGCTGTAGAGGAAGTGACAGTATGTCTAAAAGCAACAGGAATAAAAGGTTTGACTAGTGACAGAGCAGCAACATTGAATAAAACAGGCAAGTGATCCAAAAACTGAGTCACAAATTTCAGTGACTTCATCAGACTTTGTTTGCCCTGGTTCCTCAACAACTGATGTGGACCTTGTTGACTTACATAACGTTTCCTTTGTAACAGCTGTCTTTCCATAATACAAATTATGCCATATAAAAAAAGGCCCACTGTCATTATTGCTATTTTGTTCTGTGTAATTTTGGACTGAACTTTTAAACATTTTTTTTGAAGATTCTTTGATTTCTTGTGTCTGCAGAACTTAAATGTTTGGGTTCAATGTGGGAGGAAAGACATATGTATGATCTTATGATCCTGGCACTTGGATGTAAATTTCCCATAGAGATACTAGCTATTATTAGTGAAAGGAAAATAGTGCCACTAATGAAACATAAGCTATGCAGATTTTAAAAGCCTTCACTCTCTCATGAACTGTGGCCACTTTAGTCAAAGCACAGCCAATATAGAGGTAGGAAAACACAATGAATATCAGTGGAAGCCCAGTCAGAAGCTGGAAGATACCAATTCACTTTATCTTTCCTCACTCCACTTTCATCTAAGATGGTATCTTCCAGCTTCTGACGGGCTGAACACACCTGAGCCAGGTAATCAGCAGCAGGTCAGGTCAGGCAGGGATAGTTGGAAAACAAGCAGGACAGCGGCCCTCGAGGGCTGGAATTGGCCACCCCTGTGTTAACAAAACACTAAGGATGTGGCTGGATGTATTATCATCACAAGCCAGTCAGTATATCTGGCCATAGTCACAGACATAGCTGTCCATAACCACAGACTTACAGTAGGAATGTCTGGTGAGAAGGCTAACTGCAATGAGAATGGCAGTAATGGCAAAGAACCTTTTCCTGTTTACAGCACAGTGATAAAAGTAGACATTGTATTAGTAGTAGATGTTCTCTTTAATGCATCTGTATCTCGTTGGCTTTGTGATGATGAAATTGTGCCAAGCTTTAACTGTTCTGACAAGAGTGGCTAATAAGGGGAGCGGTCCTCTTCAGAGTTCATAACAAATAGTCAAGTCAAGTCACAGTGTTTATTGTCATATGCACAGTGAGGAAACATGAATGCCACACAGTACAAGTGAAATATAAAGTAGATAAGTAGGTAACACGAATCTAAGGCACTTTAAGCCTCGGGGGCGGGATTTGGCCCCCCCTGTGTTAACAAAACACTAAGGATGTGGCTGGATGTATTATCATCACAAGCCAGTCAGTATATCTGGCCATAGTCACAGACATAGCTGTCCATAACCACAGACTTACAGTAGGAATGTCTGGTGAGAAGGCTAACTGCAATGAGAATGGCAGTAATGGCAAAGAACCTTTTCCTGTTTACAGCACAGTGATAAAAGTAGACATTGTATTAGTAGTAGATGTTCTCTTTAATGCATCTGTATCTCGTTGGCTTTGTGATGATGAAATTGTGCCAAGCTTTAACTGTTCTGACAAGAGTGGCTAATAAGGGGAGCGGTCCTCTTCAGAGTTCATAACAAATAGTCAAGTCAAGTCACAGTGTTTATTGTCATATGCACAGTGAGGAAACATGAATGCCACACAGTACAAGTGAAATATAAAGTAGATAAGTAGGTAACACGAATCTAAGGCACTTTAAGCAGTAAATGAAAGAAGCATAATACAAATACAACAAGAACACAGTATAGTGAACATGTGAGCTGTGTGTGCAAGTAGTCAGCAGCGGTGTACATGTCAGGGCCGCTCGGCGGCCGCTGCCTCTCCTCCGTCTTTCTCTCCTCTGCTCTCTCTATCCTGTGGGCTCTGCACCTCAGCTGTGTTGCATTCCAGTAATTAGCGACTGGTTTGTTGAGGCGCACAGCTGGGGTGCATCCCGATGATTGCCTTCTCCTCCTTACTTATTCCGCTGGCAGACGCTCTGTCTTGAAACCTAGTCCAGTTGACTTTTCTAAGTCTATTCAGCTTATTATGACCTGGATGACCAAGAATCTGCACGGATATGTCAGCACATGCACATAACAAATTCTAAAGTTGCTGAATGCTCTCAAACTTAATTTTAGTACATGTTTAATTTTCTTTCCAATTTTCTAACATTTTAAATATTCGGCCTTAGATTTTCACAAACAATTTGTGGAAAGAGACAATAATATTACCCTGAAAACAAATTAAACACATTAAAACAGTTTAAACAGTCAAAAGTACATACAATTTTTTGTACTATAACACAAACCTTGCTAAATACAAAAGGCCCAAAACATCAATAAACAGATTATTGTTATATTTTCATGGCAGTTTTGAACTGCCCACTGATTGGAAACAATTTTGTTACAGATTCTTTGATTTCTTTTGTCTGCAGAACATAAATGATTGGGTTCAATGTGGGAGGAATTACAGAGGTCAGAGACAGACTTATGATCCTGGCATTTGGATGTAAGTTTCCCAGTGAGGCAAAAGCTATTATTACTGGGAAGAAATAAATTGCCACTAATGACAGATGAGCAGTGCAGGTTTTAAAAGCCTTCTCTCTTTCATGAATTGTGGCCACCTTAGTCAAAGCATAGCCGATATATACGTAAGTAAACACAATGAATACCAGTGGAAACCAAACAATAAGAAATGATAACAACATACTAATAATAAAGTCATTTCTTTCCAATTTTCTAACATTTTAAATATTCGGCCTTAGATTTTCACAAACAATTTGTGGAAAGAGACAATAATATTACCCTGAAAACAAATTAAACACATTAAAACAGTTTAAACAGTCAAAAGTACATACAATTTTTTTGTACTATAACACAAACCTTGCTAAATACAAAAGGCCCAAAACATCAATAAACAGATTATTGTTATATTTTCATGGCAGTTTTGAACTGCCCACTGATTGGAAACAATTTTGTTACAGATTCTTTGATTTCTTTTGTCTGCAGAACATAAATGATTGGGTTCAATGTGGGAGGAATTACAGAGGTCAGAGACAGACTTATGATCCTGGCATTTGGATGTAAGTTTCCCAGTGAGGCAAAAGCTATTATTACTGGGAAGAAATAAATTGCCACTAATGACAGATGAGCAGTGCAGGTTTTAAAAGCCTTCACTCTCTCATGAATTGTGGCCACCTTAGTCAAAGCATAGCCGATATATACGTAAGTAAACACAATGAATACCAGTGGAAACCAAACAATAAGAAATGATAACAACATACTAATAATCAAGTCAGGTGTTTTATCATCACAAGCCAGTCGGTATATTGGGCCATGGTCACAGAAATAGCTGTTAATGACCACAGACTGACAAAAGGAATGTCCTGTGAGAAGGCCGACTTCAATGAGAATAACAGTAATGACAAAGAGCCAGAAAGAGGCAATCAAAGAAAACATGAACCTGTGGGTGACTTTAACTTGATAGTGTAATGGAAAGATGATAGCTATCATTCTGTCATAAGAGAGTGCAACCAGATTAAGAGGTTCCATTGAAAAGCAGGTGTTGCAGAAAAACATGAATGTCAAGCAGTCACCGTAGGAGATGTAGGGATGGTCAAACAGGAAAATGTCAAGAACCTTCGGCACCAAAGCAGAGCTACCAATCAGGTCTGTAAATGCTAGGTTAAAAACAGCAATATATTTTGGAGTTCTCAGATTATAATCAAAGCATATTATTACCATCACAACTGTGTTTCCCAGAACTGAAACTATATAAACAACAAAGAGAAAGACATAATAATACTTCATATTGGGTATGTCAGTAAATCCACCTATTATAAAATAATCAGGATGCACAAAAGTGTTGTTTTTCCTAAGAGCTGAGTTGACTAAATCCATAGAAAAACCATCAACAGCACAGTGATAAGTGTAGACAGATGTCTTCTTTGCTGTCTGTATTCTGTTCTCTTTGTGGTGATGAAGCTGTGCTGCCCTTTAACTGTTGTGACCAGAATGATTAATAAGAGGTGCGGTCCTCCTCTGAGTAAATGACAAATAGGACCAATGCCTGATCTTCCGTAACTCTTCTATGTATGTCACTCAACATCAAACAAACCCTTTTTACAGTGCAAAACAGTGACTGGTACTCAACCAATCTATTTCTAATTCTCTAATAAACATATTAACTGCTTATGTTATCAACGGTATACAACACAGATTTGTGTTTTATTTGTATAAATGCTTGTATGTTTGTATGTATTGTAGATCAGAAATATAAACAATTGAGCAGAGCTTAGTTCCTAGAGTAATTGTATTTGTAGCATACATACTAAAAGTGTGAGTAATATGTTATTATGGGGCACTCACGATATGATAATGGTACAATAACTGTGTTGGGGGGGAAACAACATTAGAGGGCTTGAACTAAATTGCTACCAGTTTTGATTTTTAGGTGATCTGACCTGTTCCAAAAACACTGCCACAAATAAGCATGTCTGTTGCTTGTCCACTCTAATATCCTACACTTCAGTATAATATTAAATACTGCTAAAAACACGTCAGCAACTCAGTGGCTGTGCTCTTCAAACATGAAAATGCAATGTTGCAAACTTATTTTTTAAATAAATACATACATCTCCTAATGGCAATTTTTGTCAATGCGAGAACGCCGACATTTCTTGATTCTGCTTAACTTTAAGAAAGCTTCAGACTTGTGTTGTTGCATGTATATTTCTGGGCAATCACAGAAATACACAATCAATGAAGGGTTGATTGGTGACATCCTTAAAAGACTGACTGTGCTAAAATTTCAGTAAGCACTTTTATACTCCAGCCTGCCAGCGTCCCCTGACATAGTTTGGAGGTCAACATTGAGTTTTTTAGTTTTTAATAAAAAGCCCCGAAAGCTAGCTCGAATAAAAAAAAAAAAAAAAAAAGTTTGTGCAATTTGTAATTATTGCCTTTCTGGCTACAGTTCTTGAAAAATTCCAGCAGATCAGTTTATGGTATGTGCTGTATGAGAATTTCAGTAAGGTTCTTAGGCACAAAAAGAAGGGATCACAAAGTAATCAAAAATAAGGGTCATTTAATTTATTTTAAAAAGTCACAAATCAGCACAGGAGAAGGTGCACAGCATTTCATCTATACCTTCTTCAGTCTTGAGTTTGACGTCTAGATCCCTTTCACCACCAATGAGTATCAAGCAGTTTATCAGCAACAACTGAGCCAAAGTTGCTCAATCTCAGGACACATTTGATTACAGCTAATCACTTGGCAAACCTGTTGGTAATAGGCTGACTGATTATCACTGGTGGTGTAAAAGTCTCAAACATGAAACTGAAGGACTAGTGCACCCTGAAGAAGGCATAACAATCTAAGCTCAGGTTTTATTGTCAGGTCCGCTCGGTGTGACCTGCCTCTCTTCTGCCTTTCTCTCTCCTGCTCGCTCTTTTTGCGGGATCGGCGCCTCAGCTGTGTCGCTTTCTGTAATTAGTGACTTGTGGGTTGTCGCGCACAGCTGGGGCGCATTTCTGTAATACCTGCCTCCTTATTTAAACCCCTGGGAGATGCTCCGTCGTCGGCCGGAGCATTGCACTATGTTGGACACAGACATGTTGAAGTAGTATGTGACAGTTTGAGTGAACAGCGAGGTTTTTGTTTTTTTCTTGTTTTGTGTTAGATAGGGCCACTCTTGTTGGCGACCTTCCCCCTGCTTTGTGTAACTGACGGCGATGCTGTGATTACCACTGGTGAACTTTCCTAGCCGTGTGTATTTGACGGCGATGCCGTGATTACCTCTGGTGTACTTTCCTAGCCATGTGTGTCTGACTGTGATTTTCCCAGCCGTAGGTACCGGACGGCTAGCACTTCAGCGAACGCTACTCTAGCCCTGTTCTTCTTGTTCCTGTGTCCCTCCTGTCATCTCACCTGTCACTGTTTTCCTGTCTACTCGCCTGCCTTGTCCTGGTCCTCTACTCTCCTGTTTCCTGCAATCCTCCTACTCATCTGCTTGTCCTGGACACCTTAGCCATCCCTGTCCTACCCCAGTTATTGTATTATATGTTGACTCAGTTTGTCTGGGTTCTTTAATAAATCACCTTTTTTCACTAGCACCTGGGTCTGCACTCCTAAGTCCTACCTAAGTTCCCCCGGTGAGGGGGACTAAACCATAACATTTATAGCCCATCACATTTATATTCTACTTTTTTTTCTGATGATGAGGAGGATGTTTCCATGCTAGTTCTTTTCAGTTTTAACATTAGAATTTGACACACTTTTGATCGAAATAAAACATAAACAAATGATCATTTTATCATTTTATTCACTGTGAATTTGAATTGGTTTTTGATTTTCTTCAGTGATAGTATGATTTCTTGTGTCTGCAGAACATAAATGATTGGATTCAACATGGGAGGAAAGACAGAGGTCAGAGACATGTTTATGATCCTGGCATTTGGATGTATACTTGCACCACTAAACGTAAATGTGATCATTACTGGGAGATAAAAGATTGCAACCAATAAAATATGAGCTGTGCATGTTTTAAAGGCCTTCACGCTTTCCTGAACTGTGATGACTTTAAACAGTGCATAGCCAATACATACATAACTTAACAATATAAATACCAGTGGGAGCCAGAAAATAAGAACTGGAAACCACCTACCAATGAACAGACTAGGAGTTCTGTCATTGCAGGCTAATGTGTGCATCAGGCTATAGTCACAGAAATAGCTGTCAATAACCACAGATTTACAGTATGAAAGTCTTGTAAGAAAGCCAACAGCAATGAGAGCAGCAGTAATGTTAAAAAGCCAAAAAGAGGCAATCAGTGAAAACATGAACCTGTGGGTCACCTTCGCTTGATAGTGCAGTGGGAAGATGATGGCTATCAGTCTGTCATAACAAAGTGCAACCAGATTAAATGACTGCATTGAAAGACAGGAGTAGCAGAAAAACATGAATGTCAAGCAGTCGTATAAGATGTAGGGATGGTAAAAAAAAAAAAAGATGTCAAGAACCTTGGGCACCAAAGCAGAGCTACCAATCAGGTCCACAAATGCTAGATTAAAAATGTCAATATATTTTGGGATTCTTAGCTTTTGATCCATGCATATAACAGCCATGACAGTTATGTTTTTCAGCACTGAAACTATGTAAACAAAAAAGAGAGAGGCATAATACTTCATATCAGGTATGCCAATAAATCCACTTATTATAAAATAAGCAGAATGCACAAAAGTGGTGTTTTCCCCAAAAGCTGAGTTGAATAACTCCATATTAAAACTGTCCACAGCAGTGATTTACAGACAGAAGCGTCTTTCTGTACATCAGCACTGGGTTTTCCTATGTGGATGGAGCTGAGCTTGGCTCTCGCTTTCTGGTGACAGAGCTCTGTCAAGCTTTAAACTGTTTTGAGAGAGGTAGTTACCAAGAGAAGCAGCAGTCCTTCACATTTCTGTCCAATAAAGTCAAGGTTTGCTACCAAATGTCTATTGTTTTTAAACCAGTCAGCATCTGGCAGACCATCTTACAGTGGCTTAGTACTGTACCACAAGTAGAACACCTAAAACAAATTTTTTTGATATTATGTCAAACAGTGTTTTAACTGTGACTTTAGCATTTAGCTTAAAGCACTTACTGTGCCTTTGTACAGTGTCACAGAAATGCTAATATGCCTGGAAGATCAGTCTTCTTTAATCAGGGCAAAAAAAAAAATGACATTGTTCTGGAGGTGTAAGAAGAACTTTGTTCATGTTGCTCCCACACAAACAGAAACTATGCTATAAACATGGTATAGTAATTATTTCTGTATTGTGCTGTTTGTAAATTGTTTTGACTTCAGTATACATTCTAAAGCAGCAGTTATGTCATTCTATGATACAAACTCTATTCACAGATATGTTTGTTACGATTAAATAAATATAGGATTTGCAACTGTTATTTTACCCTAATGCAAAAAGCCAAAAACATCAACTAACATTGTTTTCTTGGAATTTTAGGCTATCCTCTGGTTTTAAGCAAGTTTTTTACTGATTCTTTGATTTCTTGTGTCTGCAGAACATAAATGATTGGGTTTAATGTGGGAGGAATAACAGAGGACAAAGACAAATTTATAATCCTGTAATTTGGATGTATACTTATGGTAAAGGTGATTATAATTGGGAGGAAATAGATTGCCACTAATGAAACATGAGCTATGCAAGTTTTAAAAGCCTTCACTCTCTCCCGAACTGTGGCCACTTTAGTCAAAGCACTGCCAATATACATGTAAGTAAACACAATAAATACCAGTGGAAGCCAAAGAATAAGAACAGGTAGAAAATTACCAAAGACCTGAATGGCAGTCCTGTCATTGCAGGCCAGCTTTTGCATCAAGACATAGTCACAGAAATAGCTATCAATAACCACAGACTTACAATAAGAAAGTCTTGTGAGAAGAACGACTGCAATGAGTACAACAATTATAATAAAGAACCAAAAAGAGGCAATTAAAGAAAACATGAACCTGTGGGTCACCTTCATATGATAGTGTAGTGGGAAGCTGACAGCTATCAGTCTGTCATAGGCAAGTATAACCAGGTTAAGGGCCTGCATTGGAAGGCAGGCATAGCAGAAAAACATGAATGTCAAGCAGTCATTGTAGGAAATGTAGGGATGGTCAAACAGGAAAATGTCAAGAACCTTTGGCACCAAGGCAGAGCTACCAAACAGGTCTGTAAATGCTAGGTTAAAAACTGCAATATATTTTGGAGTTCTCAGTTTACGTTCCAAGCATATTATTACCATCACAACTGTGTTTCCCAGAACTGAAACTATATAAAGCAAAACAAGAAAAACATAATAATACTTAATATTTGGGATGCCAGAAAAACCACTTATTATAAAATACGCAGGACGAACAAAAGTGATGTTTGGCTCGAAAGCTGAGTTAAAAAAATTCATTCTAAAACTTCTCCTGTCCACATCACAGGAGTACATATAGATAGATGTTCTCTTTACTGTGACTGTATCCTAGGTCTTCTATTCTAAAGTCTGTGAAGCTTTAACTGTTCTGAAAGGAGTGACTAATAACAGGAGCACTATCCGTCTGAGTTCATGACAAATAGGGTCAATGCCTGATCTCCTGTGGCTATTACATTGGTATTTTTCCATCAGCAAGTGTCTGCCCTTCCGTGCTGCAGTATGCTCAGCGGAGCTGTGCTGAGCTGCTCGCATGCTAGTGAGGTTGTGTTTACACCTCACCATAAAATGCATCCCTTATCTTCCACATCTCGATCAAGTGGGAGCAAGGAAACTTAATTTATATAGTACATTTTCATATGCAGCAGCAATTTAAAGTGTTTAGCACACAGATGGATAAAACATTAAAATGCATGCAAAATGCAGCACAAGGTGCTGAGAAGCAACCTGGCTCATGAAGAGCTTTCAGACCAAACAGTTCTAGGGACTATCCCACTGGGGAGCTCCAACAAAAACTACATAACTTCCTGGGCTTTTTACTGTTTGCATTCACACCAACACTAAGAATGCTGAACTAACATAATAATAAAAGCCAGCCAAGTGTTAGTGATTAACCAATGAAGTCACAACTCTTAATACATAGTGAAGTCAGTACGTCTTTTAATTGTTGGCAACATTATTTAGCATTATATAACGAGCCACAAACCCTCTGCAGAGGCTTCTGTTGGGAGACTGCACTGCCACTGGTGATCTGAATCAGAATCAAAATCAGAATCAACTTTATTGGCCAGGGGTGCTGGACACGAGGAATTTGACTCTGGTACAACGGCTCGCAATGTGCACATACATATCCCCATGCAAGGAAACAGCAAGAGGCAAGAAAACATTTTGTTTTCATTCATTTTCTACCGCTTAGTCCCTGAACGGGGTCATGGGCGGGGTGCAATTGCCAGTCGGCAATTGGGCAAAGGCGGGGTACACCCTGGACAGGTCGCCAATCCATCGCAGGGCTAACACATAGATGAACAACCACACACACGCACTCCTATGGGCAATTTAGAGACACCAATCAACCTAAGCTGCATGTCTTTGGACTGTGGGAGGAAGCCGGAGTACCCAGAGGGAACCCACGGCAAGTAAACAATATACCATAAACAGTGTAAACAAGCAATAAACAATGCAGTTAGACAGTGACCTGTAACGCTCTTCAGTGGGGAGGAGTTCAAACAGATTGTGTCCCGGGTGTGAGGGGTCTGCAGAAATCTCCTCCACCCTCCTTTTGACGTGACGTGTACAGGTCCCCCATGGAGGGCAGGCTTGCACCAGTGATCTTTTTTGCAGTCCTGACTGTCCGCTGAAGTCTGTTCCTGTCCTGCATGGTCGATAAGCCAAACCAGACGGTAATGGAGGTGCAGAGAACAGACTCGATAATTCCTCGGTAGAACTGTATCTGCAGCTCCTGGGGCAGGTCGAACTTCCTGAGCTGGCGCAGGAAGTACATCCTGTGCTGTGCCTTCTTGGTAATGGTCCTGATGTTGGACGACCACTTCAGGTCCTGGGAAATAGTGGAGCCCAGGAACTTGTAGAACTTGTAGGACTTTAGTGCTGATACAGTGCAGCCAAGTAGGGGGGGGTCCTCCTGAAGTCCGCTGTCATTGCCACTGTTTTGATTGTGTTCAGCTCTAGGTTGTTGCAGTTACACCATAGGACCAGCTGTTCTGCCTCCCGTCTGTAGGCTGACTTGTCACTGTCTCAGATGAGACCAGTGACCGTTGTGTCATCTGCAAACTTTTGGAGCTTGATAGAGGGGTCCTTCGAGATGCAGTCGTTGGTGTAGAGTGAAAATAGAAGAGGGGAGAGCACACACCCCTGGGGGGCACCTGTGCCTATTGTGCTGGATGTGGTTTTTCCCAGCCACACTTGCTGCTTCCTGTCTGTCAGAAAGCTGGTGATCCACTGACCACTGACAGTTGGGGGCAGGCACAGTGAGCTGGGTCAGTATGGCGTGGAGGATGTCTGGGATGGAGAGATAACACAAACCTACATTCCCTTTAGTCTTCAAGATATGAGCATGATTAAATCCCAGCTACCTGACACTGAAAAGGGGGGTGCACCATGGATTAGGGCTTTTTTAGGTGCTTGTGCAGAATTTGTGCCCGCGCTTGGAGATTTTTGTCGTGTTTTTACAGCCTGTACTTCTCTGAGCATGTTACGGGAGATAGAATTAATGGCAAATACTACCGGGGATCATGATAATGTTGCCCTCCATACTGAAGTTCATCGGCTTTGGCCGGTGATACGCCAGAAATTCCCAATATAGGTGTGCTCTGTTGAGTTGTGTAGAATTCCACCTCAAGAGGGTGAGAGAGGTAGTCAGTATTTGCTCACAGTGTGTGAACTCTGGCAGAATCACAGTGGTGAGGACCCAGCCGTCAATGACACCATGGGGGTGCTATTTCGCAGTGCTGTGGAGGCTTCCCTCCCAGCATTCATACAGCATCTTCTGAGACAGGTAGTGGGACTCTCCACATTTACCTTTGAGCAGTGGTCAGCTTATGTCACTCAGTATATTGACAGTGAGCTGGAAGCACAAGAAAAGAATACAAAGGAGCTTTCTTCTTTGCAGGCACAGTTAGCTAAAGCACAGTTGAAGGAAATGCAAGACAAGGTTAATCAAATTAAAGCTACAGCTAACCAAATGCCTGTGCAGAATGCTGTACAGCCATATGCACAGCAGCAGCCCTTTGCTCCACAGCTGACCGTACCACCTTATCAGTGGGATTCTGCTCTCATGTACTGTGGACCTCAGTACCATGGCAGGCCATGGGGAAGAGGTCAAGGACCTCGGGTTCTCAGAAGAGGTACACCAAGAGATGACAGGTGCTGGATTTGTAACGAAAGAGAACATTGGTCGCATAAATGTCCCTTTTCATATCAGCAGTCACAGGGTGTACCGTGATATCAGCATCAGGTCTACCCACCTCCACAGGATGGATATGTTCAGCAGTTCCCACCATCAGGCCAACATCAAGCACCTGGCTCACACCAGTTGCCTCAACATTAGGGCTGCCCAGAACCGGTAACAGGTGACTCACTGTGTTCCTAGGAAATGTTTCTTGAACCACTAGTTAAGGTAACCATCAATAGTTAAGATCATATGTGTATGGTTGACACAGGAGCCCGGTATTCCACACTTAGCATGCCACTCCCCGTTTCAAGGCATGCCGTACCTGTTGTTGACTTCTCGGGACACACAGAGGAGTGGCCGCTTTCTGAAAAAGTTCCTTGTAAATGGAACAATCTGTCCTTTTATCATTCTTTTTTGCTTTCCCCCTCCTGTCCTGTTAAGCTTTTGACTCAAAGTTCAAAGTGTTTATTTTGTCATATGCACAGTGTTTCCCTGTACAATGAAATTCTTACTTTGCCGTCCACATGAATGCCACAAAATACAAATGAAATATAAAGTAGATAAATAAGTAACAGCATGTGCAGCAGTCAACAGTCATTGTGCAATTATGCATGTGCAAACAGAATGTAAACAGTACATCACATATTTCCTGGTAATAAACTCCTCAGCTGTTTAGGAGTCTGATGGCAGAGGGAAAGAAACCGTTTTTCAGTCTAGAGGTCCTGCATTTCACACTTCTGAACCTCCGGCCAAAGGGCAAAGAAATGAACAGTCCGTGCTGGGGGTGGGTGGGATCTTTGAGGATGGAGGCAGCTTTCCTATGCACCCTGCGATGGTAAATGCTCTGCAGAGAGGGCAGTGGAGTCCTGGTGATCTTCTCCGCAGTCTTTACCACTCTTTGCAGGCGCTTGCAGTCCATAGCAGTAGTGCTGCCATACCAGACAGTGATGCAGCTGGTCAGCTGGTCGTGGCATAATGTCTTCACTAAATGTGATAATGATGATGTCCCCCTGCCATGTTGACATCACTTTTCCTGATGGCTCTGTTCAACGCTGTGCAACTCCAAAAGCAACGCTCAAACAGATGTTACAAACCACACCCTCAGGCATGGACCTGTCTCTTAATTCCTCAGTTTAGGTGTGGTGGGGACTTGTAACTGCACCTGAAAAAACAGATTTGTGGGATACCTTCAAGCAGTGGTTTTCCTGGATTTCCATCCTCCACAAACCCACAGAACCGAACACATGTATTGCACCTTTAACTATTCTCTGTACGGGGACGAGGAATATGATCCTTTGTGGGACGGCTTTCTTCAGGGAATAGAGACATCCCAGAGGTCAACTACAGTTGACATTCAACAATTGTACATTGGGCCTCAGGGAGTGCACTGCCACTGCCATTGCACTAGTTAATATAAAGAGGTGTCCTCTATTGTGTGTCAGCACTGTGCCATCTTATGTAGATGCAGGTGAGCTCTTCTTTTTGGTGACAGAAAGAAGAGGCACTGTCAAAAGAAGCAAGCCTCCTCTGTGTTTTGATGATATAAGGTCAGCCCCCCTGTGTCTTCCGCTTATAAGCCACTCATCATCAAACAATCTACTACAAATCTATAGCACACCTCTTGCACATTTTTTATGTCTGGTGTTTCAGTTTAGTTAGTGAACTTTTTCAATAATTTAAAATAAATTCTAAAAATGTATCAAACCATTGAGAAAACAATATGAAAGTTCGCTTGTATTATCCCTATGGAGGTTTATGAAAGGTTTATAAAAGGATAAAAAAAAAAGCATACTGTAGTTTAGCATTCAGCCCAGGGTTTTCTGGTGGGGTCTCATCTTGCGACTGAGGGTGGGGGTGGTGTTGGAGGGATTTGTTAGGAAATGTCATCATTGTTTGGAAATTTTCGACGGGAGGGTGTTGAAGAGAGAGAGGCTGAGCTGAGGCGGTGTGCTTGTTACTGATCACCTATCTGACACCATGCAGATAGGAGCTCACCTGCATCTACATAAGATGGCACAGTGCTGACAAATGTATGCACACAAAATAACAGCTCATGAGCCATGATAGCAGAGTG